TTGGGGGGGGGGGGGGGGGGAACGCGAAAGTCGGCAAAAAAGGGAAGAACCGCCTGATGGCAGGTTACAAGACAACGTACATATAGACTCCTTTTCCTCCGACTATAGGTCAGTATTTTCTATATAAACCTGCCAGTTTCTTGTGTTTAATGACTGGCATTCTGATTTCGTAGAAATAAAATAAGTTCATCTTTAAACTGATTTGTGGACTTTTATGAGTAGTAAACAAAGTTTGACACGCGAGTTTCATTAACAATAACGCTATTCGAAAGAAATTATTACCGGGTAAAACTGGCTAATTCAATATCAACACTAGCTTCGTCCCCAAGTTTTATTGTTTTCTTCGCAGTTGCCTAGGAACCGGAAGAAAAACTGAAAAATATGGGAAAACTGCATCAAAGTTTTTCTATTCTGCGAGAAGTTAATTCCAGCTAAGTCTACTTTCGTTCCTTTCAGTTTTCTAAGTGACTAACAGACAAAAAGGAAGTGCAAATATATCAACTACTAAACTTATCAAGTATATTATAGCGGAGCACTAGCACCGTAATTTTTAATCACTTAAAAGTTGAGTAGCTTTGTTGACTTGCATAGCAAATTTCAGATCACAACTATGGATGGACAAGAGAAGTTGTTTTACAGGTTAAAAACATGTGAACTTTGTTTTCAATTTAGAATGAGGAAATCAGACTTACGCTTTTCCCACTCGATTAGATACCACCGACGATGGATTGTGGATTTGTGCTGTGGCTAGATCTCAGTGTAGGAAAGCTACTGTAGCACAATTGTTAAAATTGAATCAATGAAATATTGTTTAATGATTTCAGCCACTCACAGAGCTTGACGTTCAAATGTTCTACGAGCTCTTAAGAAAAGACTTTTTTAAACGATTAATAATTAACAAAGGCGAGGGAGTCGTCAAAATTAACGAATACTTGCTAATGGCCATTGTCACTGAAAATGGAGGTGCATATTTTTAATATTCTACAAGCTTTGACTTCTCAGCTTAGCTTTTTTTATCCAAGCCCCTATCGTATTAGCGTCATAAGAGGGGTTTAATAGGTCTTGGCGGTCAGCTCCACTTCTTTATAATTAACCTCTTGAAGAATTAAAAGGACACAACATTTTTTAGCATTGACATAATTAACGATGGAAAGAATTTAACCATAATCGTGGCCTCTCGCGAGAATATAGTAAAAAACACGCGAAACCAAGCTAGCCCGAACTAGGAGTTGTTTTGAAACTCTTAGTGCTTCAGAAGCGAATTTTTTTTCTTAAAATCATTGTGGTTCCAAAAACCTTATACTATCATTGTTAACATTAAATTGAGGACTTAAAAGCCGGCAGCCTTAATTAATAAAAAAAAGAGAAGAAAAAAATGCTTTAATACGTAAGATCTCGTGCAGGTTGAAAATCGGTTGAATATCTTGCCACTCTTTACTCGATTCACAGTATATTTTTTCTTCGTGTTTTTAAAGAAGGTCATATTAGCACTATAAATAGTTTTCAATATAACAGTATGGTTCAGTTTCATCGTCAATCAATAATTAATTAAATTCACAGTCAGCGATTTTAATGAGTGACGAACCAGGTGATCGACAAAGAATGACAAAGTCAAATTCATAAGCCTGCATAAATTAAATACCGTAAGTTACCAAGCAATTACTTGTTGTCATTTGGAGTGCAGTATGGCGCACTGAAAGTTTCTTGATTTTCCGCTAGTTTCCCTTTTTGTACAGCTTGCTTTTGACTTGTTTGGTGAATTGTCTTTCTTCCTAAAAGATTCTGTTCCAACCAGATAAAAAGGACTGGACTGATTTTGTAAACAAACCTCTTTACAATCATAATTGTTACCATTCAACCGCTACTAGCGATCGTTAGCGAAAAGGAAAAGATGACGCACATTTTAACAAATCCGGGTTATCCAAATAGCCTTCGCTTTCGCTCCAAGTCTGTTGATGTACTGAGAGAGCACGAGAAACGAAAAGAGGGACCTCCAAAGACGGAACTCGACAAAATTCGCAGCCTTTCTCGGCAATCTTGGAAGGATACTTGGCAAGACCCTGGAAATCCGCTGCCTCGCGTGAAAAGCAACCATTTCGTTACCACATACTCAACAACTCACAACTACAGAGCGCTTCGGGAACTTACTCCTTGTCGTCCAACCTCGCCGACAAGAAGAAATAATCCGCATCCAACGAGGTCTGTAGTGTCTTTGTTTGTGGAAGTGTTTATATATATCAATTTATCGGCCATAGGTTTGGCAAGTTACCTACAAGTATTTCTGACCTTTTGAATTTTAAAACATACTCTAGGTCATTGCGTTCTTCATGTAAAGAATATTTAGTGGTTCCAAGAAGCAGATTGAAAACATATGGAGACAGAGCTTTCTCTATTGCAGGACCTAAATTGTGGAATGATTTACCTCTAGAGATTAGGAAATGTGCTTCAGTGGCAACTTTTAAGCAATCCCTTAAAACTTTTTTATTTAAGTTAGCATATAGGTTATGAGATTCCTTTTGTATTTTTTTGTTTTTTTTGTAATTAGGTAGCGCTTTGGCCAATTATTGGATTTTAGCGCTATATAAATAAAATTATTATTATTATTATTATTATAAGTGGCAACATTATATAGTGTTTAGAGTATGCAAGAATAGTGTTTTTGAAGGGTACTGCTGGTGTAGAATGTTCAAATTTTTCTGTTATTAAAAATCTTCATATTTAGTTCGGGAACGCCAGCATCTATCCTGTTGCTCTAAGCACATAAAAAAAGTAAACTTAACACCGGGCGAGAAGGGGCAAGAGGATCTGGGATTTTGGGGGCCTGGGGGGAAGGGATGATAGATAGCAGTAGGATTCCTCAACAAGTGCTTCTCCCAGCATTCTAGATTCCGGTATACCCTTTGATTGGCAGGTTTTGATATTTATCATTGATACTCAAAGCAAACTTGATGTATGAAAAAATAAGACCTCACTCATCACTCGCTTGCGATAGAGTCGGAGTCATAAAAAGTCAGAGCCGCAAGATGTTACCATCTAGTGAAAACAGCGTTCTGATGACTCCGTTGCTTATGATCAAGTGAAAACTAGGTTGTTGGAGTTGTAAGCAGAGGCAGATGATCAAACTAAAGTAATCACAAAAACTGGGAATGTGCATGGTGATTGGTTTATCCTTCCGCCTCCAATAATCTGGTTTTCACTAGTTCTGATTCTTTCGACTGCGATCGAATCTGTCGTGCTTATGACTCTGCTCACATCTCCAGTTTTTGATTTTCACCAAGTCATAAGCACTCTTTGCGGCTCCGATTATGACTCTGACTCAGTCGCTAGTGAAACCCAGCCTTACAGGTGTCCATAATGATAAACTTTATGGTAGACCCTGATAGTGTACTTTGTATATGATCATACACGGTGGAACCTCAGCCTGCATGGCTGGCATTTGAAAGGGAAGGAGAAGGAGATTCCTGGCATGGTAGAAGCATGCAAATGTTCCCCTTCTCCAGTCTCCTTTGCAATTGTGGTCGATCTAGTGCCCAAATTCCCTTCGTCTTCCCTGAAGAATGCCTGCCATGCCGCTAGGCTAGTGAAACTCCGACTAATACAGTGGTGGATTCAGGGGGACGGTCTGGGGGGTTCGGACCCTCCCTATCAGACCTGATGCTTCTTTGAGACTGAAATTCTTACATCAACAGGATCGTATATCACTTTTTAACTGGCTGACTTTTTTAATAAAATGCCCTTGCATTTTGCCACTTTAAAACTAAATTCCAGGGATATTCAAAAATGCAATGTTTTTTGGGTACTCTCCTATGATCTGGACCCCCCAATCAAAAATTCCTGGATCTTCCCCTGTAATATAATTGTAATTTCCACTTGTAAAAGTTTTATGGAGTTCATACACCATGTTAATTATCTACTAATAATTAGATAATTAACCTGGTGTATGAACTCCGTTTTCCTCTCTGAAAAGTGTTAATTATTAATACTTTTCAGAGAGGAAAGCAGTGTTTTTAAGATTCCTTATTTCTTCTTCCTATATGAATTTTTCTGCAGATCATTCTTGCGTCTTCAGTTGAGAGAAGCTAAAGGGTTTCCAAAAGCAAAAGAAAAGCCTGGACAGGACCCTTATGATGGTAAGTTATTGATAGGTTGAATACGCAGTCAGTCAAGTTGTTCTCATTCAGCCTTAAGGCTAGTTTACCTGGCTCCGGTTGTTAAGTGCTATCCACTGGATAAATCACAAAACGGGGGGATAAGTATTAGGGACAACAATAATGCGTTATTCACGGGATAAAGATTTATCCAGTGGATAGCATTATCCACCTTTTAAACATTACTGGGCCGTGGAGCTAGGATGTAAGCATTAACATGCTGTGGAGATCTTATGCAGTCTCATTATAATCATATAAGTGTCTTGAGTTAATGACAGGCACTTATGATCAGTGGCTGATCCTGGAGATCTGGACCCCCTTCCTGAAAGCACCCATGGGTCCTAGCCTGCGTCAGGGATCTAATTTAACTCTGTTAGTAACATCTACAAAGCAGCGCCAAGATCCTAGTTCTGGGCCCCCAAATGACACAACAAATTCCTGGAAGTGGGTTTCTAATTTCCTTTCATATCTTGATTGGCAAATCAACAGTGGCTTGTTGAACAGGCCAATCATGGCACATACTCAAATCCTGGTACACAGGTGGGGCCCAGAACAAGGATTTTGGTGCTGTTTCACAGATGGACTTGACCAGAGTTTAGTTTCCTCTGTGGTGCAGGCTAATCATCAGCCATGCCAAGAATTTTAATCAATGACGAAGTGTGACTATTTTAAGGTTCAACTAGCAGTGATGTTATTGAACTTCTCAGTAAGAAATAATGTCCACATCCCTTCAAAAGGAAGAAAGCATGAGTACACAATTGGAACAAAATGAAAATGTCACAAACTTTGACCAAGATATAACTGAGAAAAAAAAATTTAAAATGAAATTAGCACGTACAGTGTATGACAATCTAAGAAACTATTTGGTTTTTTGATCTATGCATATGGATTAGTGTAGCTACCTGCGAGCATGTTAAAATTGTATCTCAAACTAAAAAACAGGTTAAAATTGTAAGTAAGAAATATCTATGATTTCCTAATGTTTCTATTCTAGTTGGTTACAAACCAGATGAACCAAACCATGCCCAACAGACAATGTATTACACCTTATGGGAAATGAAAGATATGCAGAAAAGAGGAACAGATGAGGTAAGACAAAAATAATGTTCTTTAAGTGTAGAGAAAAAGGGTAATTAAAAAAAGTCTAATATACAAAATAATATGGTTTAGAGGAAATATAATGGACAGGAAGAGAGCTTACTGTTGCAATATTTTATTAGCACATAATACAGTCAAACCCTGTTAGCCCTTTAAGCCCTAAGAGTGACCAGCTTCAAATTTCTCCTTGTAATATCAATGCTTTGTAAAACAGAGTGGTCATGAGAATTGCGAACATGATCACACAGGATGAATTTGCTTGATATTTCATGAACCTCTCCCCACTACTTCTATAGTAAATGAGTAGCCAGTAGGGGCAACAAATGAGAATTCAAATTTTGATCTTAGGGTTTAAAAGGTTAATAAAGACACTCAAGGAGCCAAAGAAAGTGTCCCTATTAACAGGACGCCCATAGTAAGCGGGTTGAGTTTAGGTAAAAATATGACAGTCACTGCTTTCTTTCCCCAGGAGCAAAGCAAACTGTCCTGAATAATGAGATGTCCACAAGTTTTCAGATTTGTTGAAGATCTAAAAAGGCTAAATTCAAGTTCCATTAACATTTATTTCTAGGCCCTTCTAAAAGCTGTCATGAACCCAAGAGCCATACCAGCAACACAAGCCTGGGTGAAAAATGCTTCCTTGAAAGGTATTTTTATTTGGTAATCTGTTCATGCAGTAATAAATACACAAAATAATATTATCACTGACCTGGAAGTTTTTGTCATTTTTAATTGTAGTTCTAAATGTAATTTTTTCTTGAGATAATGTAATGTAAGTTATCACACTTCTTTGTAATAATAACAATAATAATGATAATAATAATAGACATTTTTCTTCCATAAGAACCATTACATGTATTTCAATCAAAATAAGAAAGGCATTATTTGTTTACTGAAAAATACTTAAATTTTATCATTTTATCAGACAAGAAGATTGTCACCAACATGTTGAATGACGCATGTGACTCAGCTGAAATGGAAAGGGTAAGATATTTACTTAGACACCATGCCAGTTTGTTACAATAAACCGTTTATGAAAGTAGAAATGATCCTCACAGTTGAATAAACAACCTGAGCTGTTGAAAAAATGCCTGAAAAAATTCAGGCTTGACCAGGAATCGAACCCTGACCTTTGCGATGACTGGGCGCAATGCTCCATCCATTAAGCTAATCAAGCCAACTGGAGTGCAGGCCACTTATATCTTTATCAGCAGTTCAAAATATGAGTCATTTCATGTCTCCATTTAATACATGTAAACAGTTTGTTTATGAACGGGTCCTTATTTCATTGTGATTTTCCTTCACTTGAACAGACAGTTACTTCAACATTCAAACCTGATGTTGTCCCAGCTGTTAACCGGTGGTTAAAGAAAGCTGGAAATGAAGGTAAACTAGTTCTAGCTTGTCCAGTGGGGTGTCTTTTAACACAGAATCGACTGAATCTTGTCCAGTTTTGACTTTTCTTTGCTTTGAAACACACCATAAAATCACATTTACATTTATGAATCGCCATCTCGTTCTCAAGCTCAATTGGATAAGAGCTTAGAAGCCTGCTGAGTGGCAGACTGCAGGTTCAAACTCCGGCTGGACCAACACTCAGGGTTTTAAGTAACTGAGAAGAAAGTGCTGCCTTTTTACTGTAAAGACATATGCAACAGGGTTAGACTTTCTTGTCTTCTCAGATAAGGATGATAAACCTAAGGCCCCATCTCACAAGCCTTGCTTCATCATGCAATAAATTCTGTGGCAGGTTAAAGAACCAACACACTCTTCATAAAGAGTAGGAGATGTAGTCTCCGGTGTGATTGCCTATCTCAACTTCACACTTACATAGGGGTCGTCAACACTCATCTCTTTACCATGAGCAGTCTGGCAAATTTCCCCGACCAGAGTTGTAAATTATCCCTGAAAAGCCCCAAGGGGGAGTGAATAATAAGATATTTACAATTTACAATCTCTTCGTTTTGTAGAGCAACAAGCAGTAATGAGGTTAATCCGAACCTTGGCTTCAGATCCAGTACATGAGGGCACAATTGATCCGCACTACACCGGCCAGCAGAACCCAGACCGGTACATCTTAGGAACCTACAGATTACGCCAACCAGATACCAAGGGATTGCATATCAAAGTGCAAAATCGTTTCCCTAAAAAATCTCATTTTCAGGCACATCCTGCCTGGCTGCAGACATAAAATAATTGTTTCTGCTGTATCTATAAACAGTTGCATCACCAGTGCAGGGTGAAAGTCACTTCTTTAGCTACTTTTGAACATGTAATGTAGCATCTTTCATTAACTCTACAAAGTGGCCAAAATAATGAAATCAAACTTGCTAAATTTATACTTTGACTTTTTGTTCAACTTTACAATATTTTCCTTCTGTAAGCAAAGGATTTTCACCATGTTCTGGTTATTCCAAAAAGTTCTAAAACCTAAAGATGTAGGTGGTTATGTGACACCTTTTTCAAACTAAAATTTTAACCTAGAAGAAAGGATTTTTCCTTTACAGGCTGTGTTATTGGTAAAAAAAGAAAAAATGTTTTAGTAAATTATGTTAGCATTTTATAAATCACACCTGTACTCCAAGGCCTTGAATAAGTTTATGGGACCTTTCCTTTTTCTCAAAGTAATGCTTGTATATCCTGATAGTCAGTTATCTTCACCACTTTGATAAATTCAGTGAAAATATGCTCTGGTTTTTACCATTAATTTTTTTTTTGAATTTGAATATTTATTTGTTTGTAGTTGTGAAGAAGAAAGAGTTTTCCTGGTCAACTATGGAATTAAATAAGTTTACATATTAAAATTTCCAAAATTTTCAAAAGATTTATTTGTACAATTCAGATGTGTGTCCATTTATTTGTTATTTGTTGATACATGTACAGTATGTCAGAATCCAAAAATAAATGAATTTTTACAAGTAAACGTCTTGGTACTAACAGATAGTTAGCTAAGAACCCTGCAAATACAAATTTTCAGCCAATTTTTAGTCAAAGTAAAAGTAGATTGGTATTAACCATCAACTGGGCAAATATCGGTGATAAAGACAAACCGTCTTATTTGGATCTACCCAGGATCTCATTCTGTTTGGTTCCAAATCAACATTTTGAAATCCATTCTTCATTCCGTAAACAGCTAACCTTGCTGCTAATCTTGTGATTGGGCCAGTGTCTGCGTGAGTTATGAGAGTTGATAACTTCATCCACTCGCACCGTGCAATCTCATCTTCACAGTGACTTATTCCATAACTCAGGGGTGACATCCTGCATATAATGTAGATATCCGACTTGTCAAATGCATTCTTCATTTGGTGCTGTTGCCGAAACATCATCACAGACTTGAATTCTGTGTCAAAACATGAGAAAAATAAACTAACCAAGAAACTCTGAGGAAATGAAAACACACTGAGTATCTGACATTTTAGCAAGTTGTTATGCAACAGATGAAACACTTGTTGTTACAGGTATCTTAAATTCCTGTTGTCCGAAGTTTCTTCTTATGCTCAAGGAAATACCTTCAAATTAGTAACCAAAGTGAAAAAAAGAAGTGAGTTTGCTTTGAGGGCAACTGAATACAAAATTAATTTAACACAAATCCAAACCCTATGTTTGATACCCTATACCTGTTAAATTATATTTTTGTTATACAATTTTTAGTCATCTACACACATACAGTACCTGACTTCACTCCAGTCTCCTCATAGACTTCCCGAATGGCTGTTTCTTCTACAAAATAACAGTATTATTAGAAGGATACATCTGACTTGTAGATGATAAGTTTGTGACAGGTTGATACTTCACTATAATAATTTATTATTATTATTATTATTATCATGATTATTATTTATTAATTTGTTTTGCATAAAAAGTAAGTACAGTCAATATCAAAATTATACAATAAACTCTCTTTCTCCAGACATTTTTAATGAAGAGGGGGAACTTTTTAGAGAAGGGGGTAATTCAATATATTTCATTCTAATTTACTCACTCAGCGAAAAAATTTTAATATCTCATTTTCCTGTGTAGGGAACCCAATATCTTACACCAAAATCTTGGATTATTATACGTTGTAGGGAAACTGCCCACCTACCCCTCCCATAAGCCAACATTTTTCCCTAAGTGAGAAGTGTTAAGGTTGGCTTAGGGGATCCAACCTTTGGGCTTGTGCAGTAACTGTTGTTTCAAAGAATTCTGTTCACATTAAGGGCAGATCCATTTGCAGCATACACATATAGCCATCACATGTGCATGTTTTATTTCTTGTTATACATGTAATTGCACTTAAAAACAAGAAAAATTCAAAGAGGAAAATGGGATAGTTAAATGCAGATGTTGCAAATAAATCCAACCCTGGTGACTCTTAGAGGAAGGGGGGGGGGTATCATTAGAGACACGTTAAATAAATTTTGACACCCTAAGGAAGCAGTAAGAGTTTTCCAACAACTGCAGCTGGCCTGGACAAGAAATGGACAGGTTATTGAAAGCACAGAGTTCAAACAGTGTTTTGTCAAAGCAAATGGTGAATAAGGGCTATCACCTCACAAGACTAGTGTCCATTACAAGGCTAGCTGTGCTCTCGGAAAAATTGACGGGATCCCAGTACACTGAACCTGTAAAATCCAAGGTGCCCAGCGCATGATTTTTATGAAAAAACAAAGATTTTCTAGTCACCCGGGAGCAACAGTTAAGCGCCAGGAGCCAATGGGCACTGCCAGAGCACAGCCTTGTATTCAGACAGCTCTAGTATTATTCTACTACATTATTTAACCATGTTTAACTTTTATTGTTAACTAACCAAGATTTTCTCCTTCATCTGAAAGTCCACCTGGAAATTTCCAAACAGCCTTCCGTTTTTGTCCAATTTTATACTGAGAAATACCAAGAGAAATAATAGCAGAATTTAGACATGTGTACAACAGGACAGAATTTATAAAGTCTCCTATGAAGATGTCCTGCTGTAATTTTGCATGTAAGAACACAACATTGTGACTGATTTTGCTGGCTATATAGTCAAATCATAGGGGTGTTTCTTGGTGTTGTGTCGGTTTCCTTTTGTGTTTTAGTGTGGTTACTGTTTAATTAATGTCTTATCAACCTTTTCAGGGGCATAGCATGAGATTTTGAATGTGTACGCACATGGGGAAGAGTTGTAGCCATGGTGTCCCAACCTAGGGCATGCTTCCCCAGAAAATTCTTAACTTTAGGGTCTCGGCCATTTCCAGCGCTTTCTACGGGACATTTTCAGCAAATTAATATGCAGGAAAGTACAGTACTTAGTTGATTTTTTCATTTCACCCATCTCTCGGTAAGGTGTATGAGTTAACAGGAAAAAAAGGCCAGTGATGCCATCAGAATTATCGAATAATAAATGCACAAAGGAAACGCTAACACGAGGACATCAATGTAGTGTGAATAATGTATCAGTCATCCCGATTTAATGATAAAAAATGCTTTTTCTATATTTTTCCATGTTTCAGCTGTACATGTACACACAGGTCCAAGTGTGTATATGGACGCTATGCCCCTGCTTTTGTATTATGTAATTTGTTAATTGCACCCGTGCGCGACACCAAGAATCTTTACAATTTATTATTGTTGAAACCACAACTGTAAAAATAGCTGTTTATGTAAACAGAACTACTACTAACTGTGATGACCGCATTTATCCTGCAGTTCAAAGTTCAAATATATGAAATTCAACATATATTCATCATTTGAGAACTACTAATCTCGTTATTTAGGGCCAGTGCTTTTTTTTGCATAAATACAATATCTAAGAGTACTTTTTAATTCATAAATAAAGAGCAATGTACTGAGGTGTGCATATACCAATTGCCTATCCTGAACAACCAATACTTCTCCTTTTTCTTCATTAAGAACCATTCCTGAAAACAAACAGCATCAAGCAATCTATCAAATTAAATCAAGTTAGGGGATCTATAGCCTGTGTACAGACATCCCCAGCCCATCAGAAAAAATAGGGAAGACGGGAGGGGGACATCTGTCCACAGGCAAGGGGATTTAAGGCACCATGATTATTAATGCTAGTGGAAAGTATAAACATTAACTGGAATTTTTCAGAGGGGTTAGAGGGATGAGACTTAAACCAAGAGTACACTCTGTGCGAGAGGAGTATGGCCATTTTTTGAAGAAAAATATTCTGCCCTTAGCCGCATTACATGCAGCATGCAAGTTCTGATGCATACTTACTCAACAACGGGTAACAGTATATGGTTTTCACTTGTTGTTTAAATGTGGCTACATGTAATTTAGGCGAGGCTAAACATGAGAAAATGCTGGCCAGCGGTCCCCACTACTAATCATATGTGGGGCGGTCTTGGGGTTTAGCAGGGCCTTAGTGATTTTACAGCACTGTCGCAGAAGTCAATCATTTTGCTCACGTTGTATTTGTGTGTAGTAGTTCTAGTTAATTAATAGTTTTTATTTATCCCTCACTAGCCTGCAAACATGCTCTTCTGAGGGTACCGTATTTCAGCCCGCCACCAGAGCACCTCAGACAGCATGCTCGCAGGCTAATCTCTCATGGTTATAATTTGCTATTGATGCCTCTCACCTGCCACTCCTACTTGGTGAGTAGCATACGGTGGTACTTTGCAAGCCACCCTCTGTGGAAGCCATTTCAACAGCATGGCATAGTCA